AGCGATCCTCCTGCCTCAGCCTCCCGAGTAGCTGGGACTACAGGCATGTGCCACCATGCCCGGCTAATTTTTTATATATATATCAGTTGGCCAATTAATTTCTTTCTATTTATAGTAGAGACGGGGTCTCACTCTTGCTCAGGCTGGTTTTGAACTCCTGACCTTGAGCAATCCGCCCGCCTCGGCCTCCCAGAGAGCTAGGATTACAGGCGTGAGCCACCGCGCCCGGCCTGCAAATCTCTTCTTACAAGCAGTACATTTAGTTCTGCCTTGTTTTTTTAATGGCTTCATGATATTCCATCATACAGATATACTATACTTTTTACTCATTCCCATATTGATAGATTTGTGTTTCTGATCTTTTAGATATTATAAACAAGGTTGCAGTGAACATACTTTTGTATGCATTGTAAACACCTGTCTTTCTGTATGTGAGAATGCCTAGAAATGGAATTGCTGGTTCTAAGGGAATATACACTTTATGTTTTGGTAGTTATTACCAAACTGCCCTCCTAAGGGGATATTCTAATTGACTCTTCCACCAACAGTATATGAGAGCACAGATTATTTAAAAAATGCCCTTTGAGATTATTTCCAATCCTTAAAAACTTTTGGTACAGGTTTTAAAAGGTATGGAAAGGTCTTGGTGTTGGTGTGTGGTTTTGATGAGAAAGTGCTATTCCCTAGAATAACATTATTATCTGTTGGCAGTCCTGAGAATTGTGCTGGAACAGGTTTTTGCTTGGGCCTGATTTGTATGCTTTTTTTTTTTTTTTTTTTTGAGACAGAGTTTCGCTTTGTTGTCCAGGCTAGAGTGAGTGCCGTGGCGTCAGCCTAGCTCACAGCAACCTCAAACTCCTGGGCTCGAGCGATCCTCCTGCCTCAGCCTCCCGAGTAGCTGGGACTACAGGCATGTGCCACCATGCCCGGCTAATTTTTTATATATATATCAGTTGGCCAATTAATTTCTTTCTATTTATAGTAGAGACGGGGTCTCACTCTTGCTCAGGCTGGTTTTGAACTCCTGACCTTGAGCAATCCGCCCGCCTCGGCCTCCCAAGAGCTAGGATTACAGGCGTGAGCCACAGCGCCCGGCCTTGATTTGTATGCTTTTGACAGCCACAAGCTCATCTTTATTGAACACCAACCAAGGGGCCATGGAGGACAGCAGCTCCTGTTCCAGGAACCCTCTCTGCATGAGCTCTGCTGTCCCTGAGCACCAGCTCCTTCTGTGGCCCTGCTGACATGCTCAGGCCTTATCCTGCCTGGGCCAGTCTCCCAGGCCTTCATTGCATTTGAGCCACCTGGCTTTCCTTCAGTTCTACTGCCCCACTTTAAGACCTTTGCCTATGCTGTTCCCACCTGGAGTACACTCTGTCCTCTCCTTCCCTTTGCTGACTTACGTTTGATTCATTGTTTGCTTCTCTGCTTAAACATCCTTCCTTTCAGGAAGCCTCCTTGATCCCTCAGACAAGGTCAGGTTACCCTTCACACATTTTTCCTTTGTAGCATGTAGCTTATTGGCAATTATTTTTTAATTTGTCTAACTATTTAATTAAAGTCTGCCTCTCCCATTAGAATATTAGCTGCATCAGGGCAAAGGCCTAGAGCAGTGCTTAGTACCATAGTAGGTGTTCAATATTTGTTGAATGAATGACACAAATTTTTCTTTAGCAGAGCCTCACATAAAAGATCTCTAGTATTTTTTGTTATCTTGATTATGTGTCCCCCTTCAGATGATGAATTTTCTTTTCAGTTGTGCAGGTATTCTTACTTTTCTTTCCTTGTCTTTTTTGTTATGGTTGACTTTTGTTCTGAAATGGAAAAATCTTTATTGTATTGCTGATTATAAAATTAATGCATGTTCTCTGTAAAATTTCACTATACAGAAATATATGGATCAGAAAATGAAAGGCTCCCTATAATCTCACCGTCCAGAAATCACTATTAATGATGTGTATCTTTCTAGACATTTTCCTACACACATGGAAATCTATTGAGTGCTTATGTATCAGGCACTATTCCAAAGCACTTTTACAAAAATGAAATGATCTAATTCTCACAGCAACACTTTGAGGTGGAGCTATTATTATTCCATTTCACAGATGAGAAATAGGAGGTCACATAGCCAATAAGTGTGAGAGCCAGAACCTGAACCCTGGTTCCAGAATTATGCTTTTGATCACTATGCTATTAATAGTTTGTCTCTGATGGGGTGGAAAAGAGACTTTCTACTATGTGTGCCCTTCTGTACTTTGAATTTGGACCCAGTGAATGTATAACATATTTAAAAAAACATGGATAAAATAAAGACTCAAAAAACTAACAAAATGCTTTTTTTGGACAGCAAGTTACCCTCCCTAGGTAACCCCTCTGAATCATCAGAATGTAGGCTGAGGGGAATGGGATTGCAGGTTTGATGATAATACTTTTACTACATCCTTCCCTTTCCCAGCACCTCTCTTGTTTCAGTGTGTTCGCTTCTCAGGATCTCCAGTCTCATAACAAACACACATCGGCTCTGTGTCTTACAGGGAGACCTGGAGGAGTTGGGATAGAGGCCACATTGACGAAGGTAGTTGCCAGGGTCCTGCAGTTACACACAAAGGTCAGTCTCTGATTCCTGGATTCCCTCATTGGTCCTTGGCATGCTGCCTTTTTCTGTGGGTTATGAGATCACCATTAGCTAGTCTATGCTACTCTCCAGCACCAGAGTGGTACCTTCCATATGGATCTTCCTATTTTGTGTAACTTCCCAATGTCCCACATCTTCTTTGTTAAGTCCTTAGATAGACCATGGCCCTGAGAGCATGTGGCTTGATCATCTTCCGAAGACGCCTGGTTCCCAAGGTGGATAACAATGCGATTGAGTTTCTTCTGCTGCAGGCATCAGATGGCATTCATCACTGGACACCTCCCAAAGGTGCGAGGCCAGAGGGGCTGGCTCTTGGGAAATTGCCAAGTGTTGCTCAGAAATCTACCCTGCTGGTCCCTCCACAAGGCTGTTTCCCAATGACTGTGCAATAGGAGGGATTGGGGTGGGTAGGAGTCCTTGATCCTTTCTACATATAAGGTCTCCAGGCCAGGACAGAGCAGAGCTGGAAATAGGATTCTGTGACTGAATTCCAGAGCAGCTGCAGCACCTGGTGTTTTTGTGAGTATCATTCACCAGCTCTCCAGCCTCTGGAGTGAATGGCTGAATAGGAGAAAAGCCACTGGGCTGGGAATTGGAGACCTTGGAGTTGAGTCATGATTGAGACGTGTGCCCACCTTTCTGGACTTTGAGTTTTTCATTTGTCAAGCAAGAAGCTGACTTGAAAATCCTGTTTTCTTCTAGCCCCTAACTATCTCTGATTTCATTAAGTTCCTTTGACTCCTAGTCTAGTATCCCCATTGCTAGGGTTTTTTTTTAACTAAACACACAGAGAGTATGACTTCTGGAGTGTTTCTGAACATGGTTTGAGTTGGAGCATGGAAAAAGTGGCTTCCCTGATCATAGATTCATCTATAAACTCTGGCAGGAGTGGATGAGTGAGGGGATGGGAGGATGCTTCTCAGACCAGGGGGCTGTGAAGATTACAGAGACTTTGGGGTTGCAGCTTGGCCAGCTACCTATGCCCTGGGTCCATCATTCAGCACCCAGGGTGGAGTTGGCCAAGTGTCCAGAGAGCAGAACAGTGAAGACTAGTGGCCTGAAGCCTGAGACTAGGCCAAGATCTGTTTGTCAGCTGGCTGGTTTTCATCCACCAGCATTCCTCTCAGAGGAAGAAAGTCTCAGTCAGATGGTTCTGAAAGAGAAGCCAGGCTGTGTAGGGAGAAATGGGAAAAAGGAACCATCCTTGGTTGAGGCCATTGAGATGGTCCCAGTGGGCAGGGACAGATTGTTGGCTCTGGC